CAGTGCATGGCACTTTTAGATGAATATCTCGCACGCTTTACGCACCGAGAGCGTATGCAGTCACTGAAGAGTGCTGTATCTGTCAGTCTGAAATCCTGCACTTTTAAAATAATGGTACCTAAAAGCCAGAACTGAACTTAGCTTCTGTTTTACACTCACCAGCGAAGCTGACAGCAGGAAATGTATGGGCCCCGCATTTAAGGCTGAGCGTCATGGGAGTTCAGGCCGGGTGTGTGTGTTGGGGGGGGGGAGGTGAATTGTTGTTGTGTTTGGAGGAGAACAGAAAGCTGTGATTTAGTACCACGAGTCAAATAGAGTTTTCTTTCTGCTGTGGGAGACGAATGGTGCTTCATTGTTTTGCTGTCAGGAGGGACAGGCCAAAGGACGTGCCAGCAGGTTCCGCACTGGCTCTGAACACCTACACCTGTGACCATTATGCACCCCTGCTCCTTTCAGAAACTCCAGAAGATTCTACGTACTTCACACATAAAGGTTCCACCTCATGGTTGGGTGGGTGGGTGGGGAGGGGGCACTCATTTCAAATTTGATCCCCAGTGTCCATGCACCTTACCATCTTCCCCAACCCAAGTCCATGTCCAGGTAAAATCTTACTTACGTAAAACCCCATCCATCCATCCATCCATCCATCCATCCATGTTTGATGAGTGTGGGAAAACAGTACTCCAACAAATTGTTTCAATAAAATATCTTGCAGCATAACTGGGTGAAAAAGTATACTTCACTCATTACTTTGAGATAAAGGTCTCAGAATCACAGTAATGTAGATGCTGAACAGCGACTTCACCTGCAGAGACAGAAGCTATTGAACTTTTGCAGCTAAAGTGGTTCTATAGTTTGTACATTTATACAGAGATTGTCTGTCTTATTACAAATACTAAACAGAAAGCAGCCTTTATGAATCCAAATGAGATTCTGTCTTCCTTCACACCTTAATGGAATTAGATTCAGTTAAATTGTTTGGTTGCTTAGCAGATATTTCCAAAGCTTTTTTTTGCCTATTTCTTCCTTTTCAAATACATTTCATTTACTGCTTTTATTAAAAGCATAATAGAAGATCCTCGGCCAATATTTGAAGCAGAAACATTACAGCTGCAAGATCAAAAGCCCAGACCACTTCACTGCCTGCTGCCCTGTGTTGTTCTTGTGGGTGGGGGGCGGATACATTTTTATACAAGATATATTTTAACTAGCAAAACCACCTTAACACCCTCACTTGGGTCATTCTGAGCACAGAGCACTTCTCTATTGTATAAAGGCAGCAGCTGTAAAGTAATGAGCCCCTCAAAGATGAGTAGCATATTGCAAGCGTTACCACGCCAACCAATGCCATTATTCCAAATCTCCTACCAGTTTCATCCCTTTTTAAATCACCATATGATTCAATAACATGTTGGTTCCCGGGCTCGAGTGGTAGCGCTGTAGCCTTAAAATGCTACCAGTGAGCACCTCTAGGGTTACGGGCTTCAGGTTCTGTGGTTGGCGATTTAGAATGCTTTGTTCCCGCAGACCAAAAGCATGGAAGATTGGTGTCTCTAAATTTCCCATTGTGTGTGAATGTGCGTGCATGAGGGCGTGAGTGTGAGCCCTGGCTGCCTCTCTGCCCAGGGTATCTCCAGGCTCCCAGCCTATTCCTCCTGGGGCTGGTTCCCGGCTGCACTGCATTAACAGAGCAGGCAAATGAGTTGGTGATGGTTCCTTGTCTTCCCTGCAACTTTAGAACTGCACTAGTGGCCAAAATTCTGGAAACATCTAGTATTTTTGGCAGAATGCTTTAAAAATGAGTCCATGAACAGTAGAGTTAATAAAAACAATCAAAGAATGTTAAAAATGATCATACATTGGGCAATTAAACTGGAGTGACAGTTGAATCAAGTTCTGCAATCTCTAAAAACTGGAAGTGTTTCCACAATTTTGGTCACTAGTGTGGGACTCTTTTTCTTCTTCTGAGCCAAACCTCTGAGCAGACTGCTTTGTTACTCTGACACGGGTCTTCACGGGAAATTTTATGCTAACTGGTATGATGAGCGATCAGCCATTCCCTCCCACGGGCCGTGGCGGAGAAAGCGAGGGTAAAACACGAGACTCTGTGTCAAACACCAACAACTCTCCCTCCGTTCCATGTGCTCTTATCTCAGACCCAGCGCACGACGCTTTCTTCACTAAAATCCGGCTGCCACTGGGAAACACCTCAAAGCACCCGGACGGAGCGATTCGCTTCTTATCGACACGCCCGCCGGACAGCTCAGTCTCCCTTTTAAGATGTCGTCCGCATTTGTACCTTTCCCCGTATCTCAAGAAACCAAGCTACGCTTCACAGCTGAAGACACTGAACATTCCGATCACGTCTAATATCACGTATAATGTGACACAACCCAACACAACACAACAACGTGCATAACCTGTGCCCTGGGCTCCATTTCTTGAACAAGCAGCGATTTGTTCTGCCAATGATATTGTGTGCTGTAAACCACTTTACCTAGATGGGCGTCTGCCCGTAAACATATTGCTCTCTGTGTTTAGCTTGTCACATGGCTTTGTGACACAACAAATGCCCGGATTAAGTCCTCGGGGGGACAGGAAGGAGAGCTCCTTTAACTTAAAAAAAAAAAAAAAAAAAAAGTTTGCACAATATATCTAGAAATGTACAAAACCGTAAACTGTCTACAAAGCACACAAGTGGTGCAAGTTTCTCTGAATAACAGTGTTATGTAAATAAATGGACGCAAATATAAATCCTTTTAGCAATTGTTTTTTTTTTTTTAACATAACATCACCCTCCCGTTATAACTCCAGCTATACGTACTGGCTTTAATGGCCTGATAGGTTGTATATCTTTCACTGCCACAACCCAGCTCTATTGCATTAGAGATATGAGTTTAAGTGTCCATTACCTGTAATTAGACGGGTGATCAAGAGCTGCAGGAGACAGAAATGCAATGGCATTGTCTCCATTATACAATCGCGCTACACAACCTGTGTTTGCTCAGAAAACTCTTCAACAGATAACAAGAGGCGGAGGACCCCCAGCGAATCTGAACAAGCTCCAGGTGCCGAGTCCATAACTCTCTCATCCTGACCTGTTCCCCAGCTCTTCAGATGGCTCACCAAAATGGTATACTGGTATTTGGGGCTGCTACACAACCGTTACCTTGACTACCGAAAAATATGACTGCACACTCTTTTTGAGTTTTGCTACAATCGCAGCCATATGATGCACAAAGGAAGCAACCTGTTTTTTTCCATTAATCATCCTTATGCATAGTATAGTATCATATATTACAGTATAGTATAGAACACTGTAGTATACCATAGTATGGTACAGTACAGTATAGCAGAGTGTACAGAGAAGCAATTGCTGTGTGTATTGAGTATATTGAGTAATCCAGATGCTACATATTTGTGGTTAAAGTTATTCTTTATAAATAATGTGAAAAAGAGAAAGATGAAATTCTTCTGCTAGAACCTAAGGAAAAACAACACTGTATTGGTAAGCGTACAAAAAAAGTCCCAGTGGTTGAAGATGGACTACAACCTGAAATGACACTTTTTTATTCACCAGACAAATTCTTACATATTAAGGGAACGATTCAGCATTAATCATCATGAGGGAATGGGCCATTTCCAAAGTATGTCCCCTTATTACATGCAGGATAACGGGAGGCGGAGCGACAGAAGCAGGCTGGGGGTAGCATGTGCAATTTCCGTCTTCATGGCGGATCATCATATGTCCTGAGGCTATGCAACTTACCCGATCCTGACCAAGGCTGCATCTCCTGTCCTCTTTTGACTGATATCTGCAGCCATGGGCGTAACTTTGGCTGGAACATTGGGGGGGTCGAGGTCTCCACCCATTACAGGGGAAAAATGATTATTGGGGGGTTATATTGGCTGGATCTGATTATTGGGGGGGGGGGGGGGGACCCCCCTAACCCCCCTGGAAATTACGCCCATGTCTGCAGCACAACCTTTCCCCAAGAGATCCTTTTGCTTACATGTGTGTTGGCTTTTTCCCACACATTTTACATTTTTTTTCAAAACCTCAGTATGTAACCAACCAAAAATACCTGCGGTGGCCTCATTCCATAAGGTCCGAGTGCTTGGACCAAGGTGTTAACCTGAACTGCTTCATTAAACAGGTCAAGAGTAGACATGTCACCAGCAGTGCATGGTGTATGTACCAAGTCCAGTAAGCTGTTAAAATCAACAAAAGGCAGTACATCCCCTCAACGTCTCAAGTTTAATAAATCTCAAATAAACATAGCGACAGATTCTGTTTATCTTGGGCTTTGTTTCCACCAAATTGCAACTATTCCGATAAAAATGTAATTACAGTGCACTCTGCGGGACGGGGCGAGTTGGTGTTCGGCCAGATTGCTTCACTGCACCTAGGAAGAAGCGCCGCTGACTTCCTTGAGAGTTGAGCTAATTCTCGGTAATTAGATGTAAATTGCAAAGAATGGCAAGGGGGCACGCGGGACCTCTCCTTTCGCGGCACGCGGCGGCGCAGAGGTTATGAGCAGACGCTAAACGTTTAATAGCGCTTCGGCTGAGCAGTGCTGTTCTTTCGGCATCTTGAGATGGCAAGAATAGTAAATGTATATTGTTTCAAAGACGTTTAAGAAACCCTCTCTCAGTGCACACTGTGCGCAATATTTACTAAAGAGTGAGTTAAGATATTAATATATAGGGAGAATATAGCAGATACATATATTGCACATCGCGCGTACTGTTGCCGAACCTTAAGTAAAAACACATCTCAGGGTGACGAGTTTCTCGGCGTCCGTTTTTTTCCGCTAAACTTTGTATAAATTTGACATGTGTCCTAATAAATCTAACAACCCTCAGTTTTGTTTGATTGCGTCCTGATGCATACTGAATGGCGTTTGTACAGTAATCGGAGAGGGCAGCGTAGGGGTCGGCATCGCTGTTTGCTGCGGGGGTTCGCTTCTCGCCAGAAGAGGGCAACCGGAATCATGCCTCCAGTCGCCGCGTCGCCTTGAGAGACAGCCGTGATATTGCTACAGTAGTAGCACGCAACTCAACCGCCCACTCTACCTCTATCCTGTTTGGGACTGTGGAGACGGAGGCAGGAAATAAAGAGTCGAAACCGCATTTAATCTTTCTGGACAGTTTGAAGAAAAAAATGTTCCGATGCTGCGCAGGCACATACCCTCACGCATCGCTTTCTCGCCTGATCGCTGGAATACGAAGTCTTGGGAAACCCGCAACACGGTCCACTTAAGCATTTGGAACAGTTTGCTTTTTTTCCTTCTGCAAAGGAGTTTCTAAAATATTATTTCATGTAAAATTATCTTCATCTTGCGGGAAAGGTTGCCCGCGGACTATGACACGGTTTATGGATAAAACCCAATAAAGATGCGTGACATGGTTTCCCTAAACTTTTCTTTATTATAAAAATAAAACAGGATTTAATTAATACGGGTTTGGGATTATTGCCCGTGCATTGTACCATAACTGCTCCAACGCATACGGACAAGATTATTATAGTAATTCTTTTTTTTTTTCAGACTAATGCGCTCAGGTTCTGGGGAAGATTTTTTTTTGACTAGCTTGCACCGGGGCACCCAAATGTGCGACATGGATGGACTGCAGGATTGAAAGGCGGTGTGAGGTTTTCTCCTGTCCTGAGCAGAGAGCCGGAGAGCGTGCGGCGGGCAGGAGCGCCTCGCGAAGCCGGCTGACGCCGAGGGGAAGCCGTCTGAGTGTCATGCGGGCTGCGGCGTCAAGCGCTAGTTGCCTCTAAAGCCGAGGACGGCCGCTGATAGATACGCGGTGATGGGTATGTGAACTACCATTTTCTAAGCACACGTCAATTGATTTCCCGTACACTGGTGCTTTGCTTTAACGGTAGACCCTGCAATCGAGGGCATCGCTGTTTTGTTTCGTATTGTGTTCATTGGGGGAAAAAAAGTCTCTGTGGTGGCATGCCAAAGGAACTAATGCCAGGATTTGGGTTTTACATCCCTCCCTTTTTAAACGCTAAAACAATGAACTTGTTGTTACGACGATCGGGTCTTAAAAGAGCATAGCACTGATTGTTTTTGTAACGTGTATATTTTCATGACACGACGAAACTGACATGGTTTACATACTTTCCTTTCCTTCCGTGGAATCTTTGGTTGTGCGTAAAATGGGTAGAAGATCGACTGCAGCGCAGCGTTTATGCTGGAAAAGCCAAGAAACATCTGCATCTATTTATTTTCAGATGCGGCTCGTATGCACGATGCTGGTGTTTGATTAAGAGACGCTAGATATGCAGTTTTAAGAATGAATGATTCACGTATGCTGAAGTCTTATCTCGCTTTCTGGTTTATTTCAACAGATCTAAGAATGCCTATCGACTGAGTATGAAACCGTAATTAAGGGGAACGTGAGAAGCTCCGCAACTTTATCATGCGTGACGCCGTTTAATTATCTAATAAGCTCAGTGGCTGTTAATTCCTATTGCATACATAATTAATAAATACTTCATTTGCTGTTCAACAGGTTCGAGCATTGATGAACCCTTAAATTGAACGTGTTGTGTTTTTTTTGCGAGGTATACCAAATGTTTGCTACCGTACACTGTGCCCGTTTTTTTTATCATTATTATTATTGTAATATCGCGTACTGCTCTCTGTTTAGGTTTATGAAACGTCAGTAGGCATTTTGCCGTCACTTCAGCAGTTGGGGAAATCTGCAGGGTTTGATTAATACCTTTGCAACAAACTGCGCATCACATGTCCCCACGTTGCGTTATGCTAGGGGCCTCGGAGACCGTACACGCTGTATTCGCTTTGGCTGTTGACCTGATGCGGCCACAGCTGTTTCAGCCTCCCCGTTGTTTTAGATGATCAGTGTGTTTATAGAGGCAGGCGCTTTCCGCTGTAGCCCCCGGTCTCTATACGCCTACGGCGATCCCGACCAACAACGTCGTAATTCTCTCGGGTACACAGATGGCCAATAGTCTCCATACCAACTATGGTCATTAATAACTCCCGTGTGTGATCTATCGGCACAGTCTTCGTTAAATTATTAAGAGATATAGCCGTGTTTAACTAACTCTGTGATAATGTATTCTGGGTAATTATATTAGTAGAAAACACAGATTTTGTGAAGAACTGAACTGCCCCCCATTACCTTTCCCACCTATTCCTAAATCAATTATAAGGGGCTACATAGTTAAAACAATATGTTCCTTACAGTGCGTGGCTTAATGCTTTATTATTATTATTATTATTATTATTATTATTATTATTATTGTGTTGCTGCTACATCTATAGGCCTACGTGTTTTTCTAGAATTACTTTGTACTTATATCAAGATATTGTGCTCAATTCTGCAGTCTGCTAAAGTGCGAATTAGGATTATTTATGTACGGCCCGAAGCCAATAGTTCGGCACTTGCTCGTTTTTCGAATTGTATATCTGCCGGGGTTGACGTAGGATTATTAACAAACAATTAACTCGTTTTACGAACTGCGGCTGTCTTCGAAGGTGTTTGCTAAGGACTGGCGGAGCCACTGGCTTTAAGCCTCCGATGTAATGAATATCGCCAGCGGCTCTGCGGCAGTGTAACGGGCTTCGTGTTTTTGCCAACGCGAAATGACAAGTGAGCGGGGAGCGGAGGCGTTGAGTTTAAACAGGTATACAGTAAATGAGGCAAAACAGGAGCGCAGCCGCGGAGAAGCGACGTCTCTGCGGCAGATCGCAGCGCCACTGTTATCCCCCCAGTTCCCCTTTTCCCCAACTTCGGTGCCGGTGTTTCCCGGTCGCCTCAAAATCGCGTCTCAGAGACTGTAAAATCTGAAATAACTCATCATTTTCTCTAATTCTCTAAACAATCCACAAAAAAACTGGAATAACATTTAGATCATATTTAAATGAAATGTTCGTTTCCGTTAGATGTAGACGGCTGACTTTACTTGGTTAGTTTTTTTTCTGCAAGCACTATGCCGTTTGGGGTCGTTAAATGAAATCACCACAGGCCTTTTCGTAGCCATAAAATCGCAGGATTAAAAAAGTAAAAGCCCTCACGGCAGCTTTTATTTATGGATTAATTTACTAATTCATGCAGAAAGCGTCTTCCTGATGAACACGATTCAGATTACAAGTAAAGGCGACGAAGAGGACAGTGACCGCTGGATGCGCGAGCAAGATTCTGAAGCAGTCAGTTACTTCTGCTTTTAAGTGAATGAAATGCAAATGAAATCGCTTCGAATGATCAGTAAAGCAGTATGTGGATAAATCAGGCCTTCAGTTGGCGATGGCTTTAAGTGAAAGGGCAATGTTGTGGTTGTATGATTATTACAATTTGCAATGATACACTAGAGTATCAGTAACGCGAGTAAATAGGCTACTCCCCGGATACCGCGAATGTTGATGGACTGTTTTGCTGTAGTATCTTGATGGCTCGGTTTGTTGGTCTGGACACCAGCTTCAGATAAATCTGCAAAATGAATAATGTGATGTGAATGCTGTTTCACCACCGGGGGACCACTGATAAGGAGCAGTACAACAATGACGTGGTCTGGGGGGGCGGCGGTGGAGGGGTGAATACTTAAAGTTTCAGGGCCGTGGGGCAAAGCAGGAATCTCTGAGGCAACACTGGGTAGCTGTGTCATGTGTGTCCCTACGGGGGCTGAATAGCTGAAGATTTTTACATGGTTTGGATGCTGCCTGGATTTGAGCCTGCGTTCTAGTAACCCAGCGGCGTACCCCCCGCCGCCAAAGGCGTGTGAGAAATCCTTAGCAGCTACACCTTTATCTGATATCGTCAGCATGACGTAGGAAGAGGCAAAGCAGCTACTGGCCCTGCAGACTGGTTAAGGTTAAATTAGCCGAATGGAGCACTCAAACCAGCCTCAAAGGAAGGTGGGTTAGAGGCAGTGGGCAATAATTTAGTTCCATTAAACAGAGAATCACAAGCTTCTCATGAAAAGGAGAATCTGCATAATGCACAAAAGGAAGATGACTCAAGATGCAAAGAAGAACTGAGTAAAGATTACAAGACTAGAAGATAAGAATTATGTGAGAATGAATTATACAGTTCGTATGGAATTATTAATTAACCAGATTCTTGAAATTAGAATAAAGTTGCTGTATTTTTAGAAATATATGCTTTTATCATCCTTCCAGAAACTATGGAGAAGGTGCCCCAATTTTCCTTGCACCAAACTAGTGATTCAAAACAACACTTGCAGCTGAACTGAGCACAGTTTTCTTTTTTTCCCCCATGTGTACAAACAACCAGACGCAACTTCAGGCTATAGATAAAACTCACCACAGGGACTGAGGACCCTGTCCATATGGGAATTTATTTTTCTGTGGATTTCCTTGATGTTTCCACACGTTAATAATCATGCCCGAGGCCAGCCTTTCTTCATGGTAGTGTGAAGGCCATTCACCTTGCTCGCTGCCTGGTCAACCTGCAAGATCCGTGTCACAAGTTGCTGAACCCAAGCCGGGCGTAATTCTGGTCCCTTGTGGCAAACTGTCTCTAGCCGTTGTGTCTATTTCTATGTCTACATCTGAGCATCTCTTTTAAGCATTGTAACTGCATATATCTCGGCGGTGACTAGATATTTTATCTTGACATATAGGGCAGCTTCACTGTAGCTCTCTTGCTGTCTGATAAAATTTTAAGTCTTTCTTTGAAGCATTAGAATCCCTTTGTCAGTGCAGAATCGAGTGGTGTGGTGAGGTCCTTAACGTCACTACTTTATGAGAGATACAATCTAGTCTTCAATGACCTTAGGTATTTCTATTGCTGCCCCTATCAAAGCCTCACACCGTGCATCAAAACACCTTTGAAACGGCCTGGTGTGTTGAATCCGGCGTGGATGTTTGCTGCATCCTGAACGCGGCCAAAAATAAGAATTCATTCATTTGTTTGATTATGACTGATTCGTTTAATAAGGCTCCAACACTTTAACTTCACTGCATCACTTGGAGACTCCGCAATCCTGTATGGCCATTAAAACAGGCATTAATGTTTAAAAACATTTGTATTTTTTTTAACCCCCTCCCCTTTTAAATAGCTATATGATGCTGAGATGCTGTTAGGCAGATGATGTGTCCCTTACTGAATGACTAAGCTTTCACATCTTTGGAAGCGGAGGAGGTGTCAAGAAAGATTAGACTGTCGAAGATTGAGAGTCTGCTGAGGGGCGGGAAAGGTATGAGCACAATATATATCTGTTTTTACCTCTTCTGCCGCTTATGCAACAAATGATTTTGCTGTCAAGGGAAATTAGAATCCTTCCTATGGACATGTTGCAGGCAATGGGATGAAGGGAGAAATGACCTCAGTGTACTTTGAGAATCCATGCTTTGTTGTCGGACAGGCATATTAAGGTCTCACTCATGAGTGTTCCAGTTCTGTGGCATCATCACTACGCATTATTAAAGGATCCTCAACATCCTTCCTAATTTGAAAATCTCCACGACGAGAGGTGACACTGAAGTGAAAAAGGTCCGGTCCTTCAAGCGGAGTAACATGGAGTCGCGATGCACCGGCGTCTCTGTGTCAGAGAAGACGGTCACATGGTCCCCGTCCACGCTGGCCAACCTTAGATCCTCTCTGCCAAAGCCAGAGCGAACGCTAAATGGAGCACTTATCGCAAAACGGCCGCTCTTGCCGAGCGACTGGTTCTCTGTCCACAGATAGGGACGCCGTCACCTAACACCACACCAGACAGGCAGTTTAGAGGGGCACTGAAGCACGGTTAGTAATCATATGGAGAAAGGTGACTTTTAAGTTGAAAGTAATGTCATTATGTTCATTTTTGGGCTAAGCAGTACACTGGGAATGGTCATTCGTCTATCACCATCAGCATACTCAACTTGTGCTCTTTTTTTCTTCTTAAAAGCAATTCTAATTTACATCATCGGTGAATGAATTTATTATAATATAATGGGCTCACTGGCCATTTTATTAGGTACACCTGCTAGTAGCTACCAGGCATAATCTTCTATTGCCAGAACTATTTTAAGGGTAGACACATAGGGTAGCCATGTAGAGGACAGATGTGACTTTCTGATGCCAGAGATGACTATCAACTTATCCAACAGTGCCTCATGAATGGGAGGGTGATACTAAGTGACCTTCAAAAAGAATGGGACACATCAAGTGGTGTGAAGTGCACTGCTAGGACAATTCATAATAGGCTCCTAGAAGCAGGACTGAAGTCCCATAAAGCAAGGAAGAAGCCCTTCATCAACGAGAAGCAGAGAAGTGGCAGGTCAGGGTTTACAAAAAAATGTGTATTATGCAGAATCATCCCCATAAATTGAGAAAAATTTTGTTGCGGTCCCTTCATTTTTTCCAGAGCTGTAACGGATAATTGTTTCCAACTGTATGTGTGGAAAACAATTCTAATAGAATTGAGTGAACTGCTTTACTGTATGATAAATTATCTCCATGTTTCGGAGCTGACAGGTTGAAAAACCAAAGGGAAACAAGGTGTACAAACAGAATGCACCACATTGCGTGAACCTTAACAGGAAGTCTTTGCTGTGAAGATCTTTTCTACAAACCTGTTGATATTCTGTGTCCATTTAGTAACACGGCATGATCAGTTCCCTGTGAGCAGGCCCAGAACTCTTTAACCACTTAAACGTGCTGACTGTGGTTTTTAGCTGGTGTGCAGAAATGCACAATGGCCTATTCTTCCCTGTAGTGGGAGAACAGGCAGGGATAGTTACTTTATTGGTGAAAAATAATGGTGTTCCATTAGCCACTACAGGATAATGAAGACATTTGCACTTGGTAGCTGGACTTAAGCCAGGCACAAAGAAGCAGTTTCTGAATAGTTGCATATGAAAACAATGCATATTGTGAAGAAGAAGCTGACAGACGCTTTTTTTTTCTTTTCTTTTTCTCTTTTTCTCATAATGCTCATGTTAGGCCTGGATTCGCAACGTGAGACCATTACAGTGACAAAATGGCACCACTTACTAAAAAAGGAACATGACTTTATGGAGGCAGATTGACCCATTACGCCAACATCCCACCCGTTAGACTTCTAAAAGCCATTAGGAGTTATAACCTTGGTCTCCGCAGAGGCAGGGTTGTGAGGAGAAATGTGTGCTATGCTGGTTATCTGCATGTCGGTGAGGCCTATTGCACAAGTGTGGCCCATTTTCAATGGGCTTTCCTGACGCAAAAAAAAACAAAAAAACAAATCTCAAGCTTCATACTAACAAGATCAAGTTCCCCACATCGTCTTTAAGTGAAGACTTAGAAGGAACACTGGCAGGTCATGAGTCATGCTGGTCTTTCTGGCCTCTGGGGGTTCAGTGCTGCTTAGAATTGAACGCATCAACACATTAGCGCATTTAACATTATTACCGTGTTTCCTTATTGCATAATTGTTACCCTTGAGGGAAGTCTGTTATTTTTTATGAATGTATACATACTCCTCCATCCAGAGACGTGACTGATGAATGGCCAGCCAGACTGAAGGCTCTTAACACAATATGCCATCACACTCTTTAAGTAATTGCTGAGTGTGCCTGCATTAAACTATAGGTTTAACACTCAGTCTGGAAAAAAGGTGTTTTTTCAACTTCAGCTTAAACTGAAGAGATGATGGAATGTATCCAATGTTTAAGAGCAGGGGGTCATCAACCTGTCCGTATATGGATAAATGCCTCCGTGGCGAGACTCGTTTATGTTTGTGACAAAATGTTTTGATTGGGGGGAAAAAACTACATAGGCCATGTTTTTAAACATCATGTCTGCATAGGGTGACCACCTAATCCATGTCAGGGGGACACTGTGAGCTGTGACAGGGTTTGCAAACTACCATTTCAATTAAAAAGACCTGGATTTCACTTTAGTGCTGAGTTTGTGCTGTGTGCTGATTGGTCAGTCCTCTATAATGATACACGTGTCACTAATGTTAACATAAAACTGCTGGATGAGTCTTTCAATCAAGGAAACAAACCAGTCAAAGCACAAGAGGAATTGAAGTAATTAGTCGAGCACGGGAGCCTTTCAGTTTTAAAGTAGTTTGTAAAACATGAAGTAGCTGGTAGTGTCCCCCTCCGACATGGATTATCTGGCCACCCTATGTCTGCAGTAAAAATAAAGTTTGATCAAAATGTCCAGCAGCATTCACTGTAGTATTTTCCTTGTTATTCTCGTCATGAAAAGAAGATTGCGCTCCAGAGGTAATATTCCGCATACCACTTAAAAATGGTGCAGATTTGCCATCAGACTGTTTGTCTCTGATAGTGTAGATGAATATAAGAAGCGCTACAGTATGTAGAAGTAGGACCACAGGGAGTCTGTCGTAGCAACGCTGCGTGTGTGAATGATGATTGTCCAGATGTACAAACACAAATGCATGCAGATGGCACTGTCACTCCTCTGCGCGGTAAGGCAAGCCCGCAGGTTAAACTAGTTTTAACATAAGCTATGGGCCAGAATGTCAGAATGTGACAGTGAGTTATGTCTCATTTCAAGCACCAGCAAGAGGTATTAATCTCAGCTTGCATTTGAGAAGAGTATTCGGTAACACAAGTGAATCCTTAGAAATTTGCTAAATATGGCATTGATTTTGGTTACCAATAGACACTATTATCCGTTATCCGTGAGCTCCATCTATGCTAGTTGACCTCAAGCGGGATTAAACAGGTTGGGACCAATGTGAAAATCCACACAAACAAAATTTGAAAAATTGAGGTAGAAGTCATTTGAATATCATCACAGTAATATAATTATAATGTAGAGCATTCTGACCTTTGATGCCTGTGTTCACTTTGTAAGCATATGTTTGATGTATCAACTCATTCATGGTCCAGCACCTCTGTCATTAAAGGATTTGGTTGAACTTTGTTCAGATCAAACAGAACCTTCCATGACAGCGAACTGTTTTATACACAGAGTGTATGATATAGGTTTAAAGAATTTGAGTGGTTCACTTTCTGATTTAGAGCAGATACTCTGGAGAATTTAAAACAATATTTGCATCGACAATGCATTAGATACAGCCATTTTGAAATCCTGCTAGAATTATGGGTAAAATCAGCAACCATGTGATCATTGCCTTGCTGTAATGTTTTAACTTCTGTTTCCTAGTGATTGTGTGATGTTTTCTTGTTAACTTGCCAGATGTCATTGCATCATCTGTCCTGGGACAGAGATACAGAGGCAGTTTTGGTTATATCACATTAATTATGTTAATTTTGCAAAAGGCAACAAACTATTTAAAGAAGTGTGGGAACGAGTGCATAAATGGGGAGCAAGCAATGATGGAAATATCTCACTTTCCAGGCGGAGAGAGATTTCCTGCTAATGTCAGTCAGGTTTAAAATCTTCAGTCCAACTCATTCCACCTTTGATGGTTTGATCTCTTTCTAAATTGTGATTTAAAATAGAAATTTTAGACAAAACGTAAGTTGAAGGATGAAAATCAATCTACAAATCTCTTTTTAGCAAAGCTGTCAATGTACGTTTGAACTCTGTTGATTAATATTCATTAGCTAGTGACTGGAGGTATCGATGGCAACAATTGACCAGCCAGTTTTTGACTGAAAGAGTTTTACTCTCATATACACAATAGCGGGCTTTTATATGTGGTTCTATATGATGCAGAAAAGCTTTTCATACTTTTTCTTTCTTTTGTATCTCTTAACGTGAGTTACATCATAGACCTAATTTCCTGTTTTAATAGGAAAATTGCATTAGTGACTCAGCCAAATTATCTGCTTCATTCCTTTTCTTGATGAAGTATGAAGTTTAAATAGACACACTTACGTCTGCGCATGGAAACACACACACACACACAAACACACACACACGTATATACACCCCTTTCTTTTTTTTGAATGACATATGAGCTTCAGAAGGTGCAAAAGTGAACTTAAACACCATCAATATGAACAGAGGGAGAGAAGGTGAATTACAAATTGGAGCTAACTGGCAATACACTACATAAATATAAATATATTTCTGTATCAGTGTTTGGTCGGTGTTCTGCCAAATGATCCGAGACGACAATGACTGAGACACGTCTCTCTCTCTCTGTCCCACCAGAATCATTCTGCCCATTTATACAGCTGGGTTATGTCGCAGGATCACTTGAGGTTGCCCAAGCGTACAGCATCAGGACCCCGTCGGGGATCTCAGTTGACTAATTTCGGGTCACATGCCCCTTCTGTCTGTGTCCGCAGGGTCTCTGGTGCGAAGCCAGTGGCTGGTGGTGCCTCTCCTGCTCCATGCCTGGATCCTGGCCTCCCCAAGCAGCCTCCGCGAGCGCCCTTGCCCCCGGAGCTGCCGCTGCGATGGTAAAATTGTCTACTGTGAGTCCAGCGCTTTCCGCGACGTACCACAGAACTTGTCCACGGGCTGCCAGGGGCTGTCGCTCCGCTACAATAGCCTGGCGAGCCTGCGGGCCGGCCAGTTTGCCAGCCTCGGCCAGCTGGTCTGGCTCTACCTGGACCACAACTACATCAGCACCGTGGACGGCCGGGCCTTCCAGGGTGTGCGGCGGCTGAAGGAGCTCATCCTGAGCTCCAACAAGATCTCACACCTTCTCAATGACACTTTCCACGCTGTGCCCAACCTTCGCAACCTGGACCTGTCCTACAACAAGCTGCAGGCCCTGCAGCCGGGCCAGTTCCAGGGTCTGCGCAAACTGCTGAGTCTGCACATTCGCTCCAACTCTCTGAAGAGCATCCCCATGAGGCTCTTTCAGGACTGCCGCAACCTGGAGTTCCTGGACTTGGGCTACAACCGCCTGCGAAGTCTCACACGTAACGCCTTTGCGGGACTGCTTAAGCTGACCGAGCTGCACCTGGAACATAACCAGTTCTCCAAGATCAACTTTTCCCACTTTCCACGTCTTAACAACCTGCGGGCGCTCTACCTGCAATGGAACCGCATCCGGTCCATCAGCCAGGGCCTCACGTGGACGTGGACCTCCCTGCAGAAGCTGGACCTCTCTGGAAATGACCTGCAGGTGGTGGACGCACATATCTACCAGTGCCTGCCCAACCTCCAGACCCTCAACTTAGACTCCAACAAGCTCAGCAATGTGTCCCAAGAGGCGGTGGGCGCCTGGATCTCACTGACTACCATCAGTTTGGCAGGTAATGTGTGGGAATGTAGTCCCAGCATCTGCCCCCTAGTGGCCTGGCTTAGGAACTTCAAAGGAAACAAGGAGACGACCATGATCTGCGCTGGACCTAAGGAGGTCCAGGGGGAGAAGGTGATGGATGCCGTGGAAGCATACAGCCTCTGCAGAGCCACGCCGGCCCCACCCGTCCAGACGCCATCTACTCTGTCCAGCAGCCCATCTAAACCCAAGAGGTTACCCATCCCCACCTTGTCCAAAGCGACCGAGGACCTGTCCCGTGGCAGCCAGGCCAGCCCGTCTCCCACGGGCGACTCCTCCGCCACCCCGGAGCAGGAATTCGAACACGTGTCCTTCCATAAGATCATCGCTGGCAGTGTGGCGCTCTTCTTGTCGGTGGCCATGATCCTGCTGGTCATCTACGTGTCGTGGAAGCGGTACCCGGGCAGCGTGAAGCAGCTGCAGGAGAACTCGCTGGGCCGCAAGCGGCGGAAAAAGGCCCGCGAGACCGAGCGCACCCTCAGCTCGCCTCTGCAGGAGTACTATGTGGACTACAAGCCCACAAACTCTGAGCCCATGGACGTGCTGGTCAATGGGTCAAGCCCGGTCACCTACACCATCTCGGGCTCCCGTGAATGCGAGGTATGATTCGCCACCCTCCTAAAATCCATTTCCGCTGCGGGGAACGAGAGGTAAATCTTCTGGAGTTTTTTTTTTTGTTTATCAAGGAAAAAAAAGATGCGCACCCCCCCCTCAACCCACCCCTTCCCCTGCTGCTTGTGTGTGTGGGGCAGGAAAAAATGGATTGCGTTGCATCGTAGCTTGACTCATACTTTCTTGGGCTTTACAGGTTCTTTTCTTGCCCAGTCAGCCGTGGCAAATAGTAATCTATAATTCATTAAAAAGCATCAATTGCTTCACAGCGTGTCACCGTATTAGCCTAAAGAATGGTTTCACTGTCTTAAAAATAACCCATTGCTTTGCCACAGAAATGTATGTGCCACCTCAAGTTACAGTGCAGTGAATCATTCCCCATCCTGCATGGGTTTGACATTGACACTAGCACAGGCTTTGGTGAAATGACTGGAAAACAAGGCTCAGTTGAAGCTGTTTGTTAATTATAACACCTGGCTTTATATCTTCTTACCATCTGAGTCATTTGCTGCAAGTGCTCCCAAATTAACGTGTTTAACATTCTGGGATTGCAAACCGCCAATTGATACTTGCACTGTACCAAGATCTGTAATTCCCTCCAATGACGACTTAATCCGTTTATAAACCTGTGCATTTGAACGAATTCCGGAATGCCTTTGACTTAATCAGTTAAAGGGTTTGCTTTGTTTTTTTTCCTCGCCTGCATTTGTTCCTGCGCCATTTTCTATTTCTGTGCGGCATTTTCAATCGCTGAGCTCAGATGTGGTATGGCCTTGATGTCTGTCTTGTTGGGGAAAATGCAGTGTGCAAGTTTCGAGGACAGGCTCTGTCATAAGAGGCAGATCTTGTGATCATATGTAAGCAGCTCTCGCAGGCTTTCCTCAGGTGCCCATCAAACTTCCTCTTCCTATGTTGACATTAGACTGAAGGAGCGTGTGACACGAATGATGGGCCCTTATGCCATGTCCCCGCTCTGACTTCCTGTGCTTGTCTGCTTCCCCGGTCTCTGTGCCTCCTGTATTTCGCTGTATTCTTTCCTGCTTGCAGTGTGATTTTTTTGTGTGCCCCTGTCTGTAGTGCGCAGAATGTTCCAGCTTCATAGCAAATCTGTGTCAGTCTAATTTCTTAATGATTACCCGCATGTTTTGTGCGACTTTCTTGCGAGAGCGGTGACGTGGATCTGCCACGAAGGCCCCATCGTGATTTACCGCGGTATCTGAAGGTTGTGGTTTCTGCTGGACTTTGCCGGCGCCGTGTAATTATCCCGTTTTATTATCGGTGTCTGTGCAACGCGCTTCGCTACCCAAGAGCGTGGTCAATTACCGATGCAGATACTGGAGGAATTTTTATTGCATTCCGGAAGGCAGAGGGGGATTTAAAGAGAAAAATAAAAAGGATTGTAGCACACTGGGGCTGCGGGGTGCTGAGGGGCGGCTGCATGTGTCACCGTTGGCTTCCGTGATGGTGACTTTCCGTGCTGTGTAGACATCCCCAGGCTCCCCGGGTGCCCCCTGGGGCAGGGGGGGTGCCCACTGGGGCTGGGGGGGGTTGCTCTCTGGGGATCCAGCATGCCCGACTATCATCTGTTCCCGTGAGTGTCTGTGCCTCTCGACTGCTAATCCGGCCGGCTTTGCCCCGTGCCTCCATCTGCCAGGCCTGTGCTGTCTGATGCCCACTTAATGAGGGGGTAGATTACCAATATAGGATTTTCATCACTGGGGAGGAAATGGGGGGCCTCTTTTCAATCGCTGAAAGGCAGCAATAAGTAGCCCGTAATGGGATCCTATCATTCTATTTGTCTTGCCTTGTCTATCCAGCCTCATTCCTCCTCCAGTCATTTTCTCGTTCCCTCGCTCTGGCCCTCTCTGCTGCGTCTTTGCCTCTGCGTCGTCGCAGCTCTCTGTGCCTCACTGGGGATCTGTGTCGGCTTGTGTGCGTCTCTCTGTATTGAGAGCTATCCCTAAATAAGCCTGTTCTGAGTTTGGATGCGAGATGCAGGCGGCGGGAGCTACTGAGGAAGGCCGCTGAAATTCCCCACTCACCGGGAAACCCCTGTCAGTTGTGACAATGTCTTTTTGAAAATGGAATCTCTGCAGTATTTCCTGTATATTGTTACAATAAATAAAAAAATCCTCACACCCATCTATCTATCTATCTATCTATCTATCTATCTATTTGTCTATCTATCTGTCTGTCTGTCTGTCTGTCTGTCTATCTATCTATCTATCTATAGGAATCATTGTCCTGCCAGTTCTTATTTAGGCCCACCCATAATACCTTTCTGCCTTTGCTAATCCAGCCCTATAATTGTCCTCACTGTTTTCCATTCCATTTTAAAATGTCAGCCGGCTGTGCCGTTGGTCCCTTCTTTCCATCGCGTAAACATGTATAATTACAGAGTATTGCCGTGTATAATTTTATTATTATTATGTTCGGATAGTCAGGTGAGATCCCTGTGCTTTATGGATCATTTCAGAAGGCCTCAGTTTTTTCGTAGGGAAAAGGGAAGTTATTTTACTCTGTTAATATGCAATGAGATGCTTGAATGGGAGGAATACATTTTTGTGAACATGCTCTTAGTCGAAATTCTTCAGAATTCTGCAAATGATGATGATTAATAACAACAACAACAACAATAAAAACATTAATAACAACAATAATATTAACAACAACAACAATAATGATACTAATAATAAATTTGTCATGACAATCTCTGGCATCTCATTCATAAGCAGCCTCTTTGCCCTTCTGTGATATTTAGGGCTGTTTTAAAATGCATAAGAAAAGATCATTTAAGATGTTAAGCCAGATGCCGATGCCTGTCCTCCCTAAGGTGTCATTTAAATGGATGAAACATTCTGCTGTGCAGGCAGAAAACTGCATTTGATTCCTGGTTGTACGTTGTTCGTTTTCATTAACACAAACATCAAGTCAGAGTGCAGAGGGGACTACGAGCATATGATGAGCAGAAGGGTGGGACGTGGGCTCGGAGCTCATCACGTACTGTACACCTCCGAGTCAGGGGGGTACTACCCCGCCTCTGCCTTGCAGCGTGTTGGGTTTGAACCGTATCCAGCGGTTACGCAGGCCTCCCCTGGGTATCCTCCCTCAATCTAGGGATCGGCATCTCCAGGTTACCTTGAGTGTGTGTGGGAGTCAGCCAGGGTGTCTCATGCGTCGTGCTCTGTCTTTCCTGGGAAGGGCTCCAAGCGCAGGACAGGATGAGCAGTAAGGAATGCGATTGGCTATAGTATAGCGCATTACATAATGCGAGCCACATATGCAAAGCACACATGCTGTATAGTACTCTGGCAGTTTTCTGAGGTCTATCACCCTAACCCAACCACTGTCCATCTGCATCTGTCATCACTGGCTTCCAGCACGGCCAGAGACCAGCCCTCCTACCGTCTATCCTGCGGTCACCTTCATTTCATCCCGGTCCCCTCCGATAATAATACGGTATGGAGAAGGGCGCCAAGATGGCGAGTGGCTAGAGGCTGTGGCTTACGGGTGAGGGGGATGGATGGCGCCGCCCGTGGTGTCTTACCGCCTTGCTTCTGGGGGGGGGGGGGGTACCGTGGTGGGAAGCTCGGTGGCAATCTGGTTAGCAGGCACAAACAGGATTAATTGCACGGGGGGATCGGTTTAATCATCAATTAATACTTTATGAAAACCGCGGGTGAGAAGGCAAAGCGAAGGAAAAACACACGTGTATCAAGATGACACCTTGGCGTGAGCCAAAAGCGCGCGGAGCTTAGCTGGACTGCCAGAGAGGGAAGCCAGCACAGCCGCGGCGGGGAGCCGACAGGGGGCCACTTCTGCGGCAAGGCATTGTGGGCCGCGTGGGATCTTTTTACGGAGGGACACACATCATAAACGGCAGTAAATCTATGCTTAATTGCACCCACATTACCTGATGTCACTGCATCACTGCAAGTGTTCATGGTTGCTTTATAGCACAAGGGCTTTAGTCAAACCTAAAAATAGATACATAAATTAAAAAGATTTGGGTAAACAAAATGGCATCATCACTTCTGCAACATTGTAGTGTTTCTCCATTACTTTGGTTCATTTTTCAGATCAGAAATAAAATTCTCATAACTACTTGTACAACCTCCACATCATCGAGTCACTCGTGCACATCATAAAAGTAAATTCTCATTCTTTTGGTCAAACTTCAAATGCATTTACTAATTCCTACATTATCAAGTTTTTATATCACGTTGGTCAAAATGTATTATACCGGTACTCTGTTGAATAGTCCATCCATCCATCCATTTTCTGAAACGGCTTATCTGGTTCAGGGTTGCGGGGAGTCCAAAGCAAATCCCAGATGCTACGGGCTCAAGGCAGGGAATAACCCAGGTTGGGGCGCCAACCCATCACAGATGCTCTTACATGCACACCTTTGGGCAACTTCCCAAGTCCAATTAGCCTCTGCATGTATTTGGACTGTGGGGAGACACCGGAGAACCCGGAGGAAACCCCACGATGACACAGGGAGAACATGCAAACTCCACACACATGGAACCCTGGCAGAGACTTGAACCTGCTGAATAGTCTAACCCCCCCAAAACATCTAGGCATTAATTCATTGTATAAGTTGGTACATGCAAAATGGTTGAACCAGTTGTCATAATCTGTCAAGCATATTCTCTATTCAACTCTATTATGATTTCTTTTTCTTTTTTTATAAATGTGTCCTGAATTGATGAATTGCTCTTGACTTTCACCAATAGAGGGGAATGTTTGAAGCGTTAGATCAACCAATGATCAACCAGTTCTCTAA